GGGGGGGGGGCTTGGGGATAAGGGACTTAAGCCCTCCCCCTATACGTTTTCCTTTTCTTTTTTTTACTTTCTGAAAAACGAAGGTACAGTGTATACATGTACCTACATCTTAAACTGCTACCTGTAGCTCTGATGTAGCTATAAATCCAACTCCCCTGTGGCATAACAGGGTAGGGGGACTTGAACAACACGAGCTGTTTCCGGATAAAATCCAGTCCAAGTACCTCCCTTAGGAACAAATCATGGGTGTGCCACAATTCACAAGGGCATTCGTCTTGACAACTTAACCACTTCCTGCCGGGCGACCCGTTTTCAGGTACATAGGCTTTATATGCAGAACTGGGACAAAAGAGTTGGGCCTTATAACAAAAGACCATGCTCAACACAAAAGACTGAGCTGCTGGGCATTACCGACATTTTTTGGCTCTCAATAGTGGAGATAATCCAGCTTTTTCTTGAAACAGTATACCACGGTTTGAGGCATTTAGAACGAGCGGATTACCACCAGCAACAAAAGCTCTCCACCACCACAGCGATGAGCCACAGCACTGCTGCACACTAATCTGGCCCCTATTGAAAAGAGGTCAGCAGTGCACTGTGCCGGTTTCGGGAACAAAAGAATCTTACGTAACACCGCAAAATCTTGGCTCTTTTTCCAAGGCTGCAGACCTGGCTGAAATATTCAGGAGTTAATGAAGTTTACCTGTCAGCTTTAGAGTAATGCCCAAAGAGTCTTTCACGTGGGTATAAACGGCCATTAAATGAAATGATGGATTTTTGAAGAATTTTGAAAACGGAAAATCTTGAAAAGGACCCGGCATCTTGTCTTGCTCAAGAAAAATCCACCTGACAGCAAGTGGTTAAGGAGGAGGAAAGCCCCTCCCCTGGGGACAAATCATGGGTGTGCCACAATTCATATACACCAAGGGCGTGCGTCTTTACAACTTAAGGAGGAAAGCCCCTCCCCTAGGGACAAATCATGGGTGTGCCACAATTCATATACACCAAGGGCGTGCGTCTTGACAACTTACATGTGAGGAAGAAAAAAATTCTTTTTCTGGAGCATTTGAAACTAACTTGTTTTGGGCATTATGAAAAGATGTCTGTCCATGTTTGTATTTGGCATTTGGAGGGTTCATTCCCTCAGATGTGTACTACATTCCAAGTACCCAAAGTGTATGTTTATTCATTTCTCCCTTCCCCTGAGGAGGTTTTCCTGCCCAAGATGCGGCTGGGGATTTTCATTTCTGAAGTAAAAAAAAATCACTGGCCCACATAAGCTCATGGTATGACCACCAGAGCCCAGCATATAAATACATGCACCTGCCACAGGGCAGAAACTGATGGATGCAACAACTAAGATATGTGTAATTAAGCAACAAAAAGTGGGTTTGACTGGGGTAAATGGAGGCATTGTGGAAAAGTATGAGCATGCTTACTGTAAACGTAAGTTCGTACCTGTGATGAGGATAACTTTCCCTGCAAATGACGGCATTCTGAAACTCTAGTTCCTTGACTTCACTGCTGAGTGGAACCCTTACTTGCAGCTGGTTTCAACTGCAAACTACACCAAAATTATGTAGCGAAAATTATGCAAGTCGAGAATGCTACACATTATAAACAAATAAAATGCAGAGTTTCAATCTTAGTCTAATATTAGCAATGCTGATTTGCATCAAATCAGAAACTACAAATGTTGGATTTGAGTGATGGGTGAAGAAATGGGATAGATGTCACACACCAACAGGTGCCAAATACCAAGATGTGAAGTAATGAGAATTATCTCACAGTCTCATCGGCAAGAAACATCTGAAGTGCACAGGTGCCTCAGCAGCACCGAGGATCAGTTGCTACTGTACATACATGTATGCAGTCTTCAAGAGTGGAAGACGGTAAATCTGTCCCCTTATCCTTTCTCTATTTTAATTTAAAGACAAGATGTGGGCGATGTGACTGTAATGTTAAAGTAAAGTACAAACGTATTCATTTTGAGTCAACTTGTCTCTTTGGATGATTTTGTTTCAACTGTACCGGTACATGGTCAAGTTCTTCCATTGGTCAATTTGTCTCAATGGTCGAGTTGCCTCAATTGTTGTGTTGGCAAACTGTCAAGTTGTCCACACCCCATTAGGGGACTCTGAGACAGAAAGAGTTCCATTTCTGGATACCACTTGACACCCTGTGCACAGACACTTTCAAACGGGTCTGAAAAGAGTTGGTTCAACATTTTCACAGCTAAATTTTTTAGGACGTGTAATCATTTTCTGATGGCTAATTAATTAAGTACTGCAACGGAAATTATAGTGATGTCCAATGTTCCTCTACATTCTAGACATATAATTGTGCAGACCTTTTAAATGAAGTGAAGGCTCATTTACACACCTTTTAATCTATTGTGTGGTAATTCCTGACCTCAGGAAGGAGTACGGCTGGGTTGGCAGGCCTGATTGTGGGTTCTTCAATGTACACTCTGCATACATGGAATGTCATTTGTCAGGATTAAAACATTCCATTCATTTGAGGGATTAGTAAAATTAACCACAACAATAGTCAAAAATACTTTTTCTATTCCTTTTGATTGAAACGCGTCGCTTGACCGTGTATTAACATTTGTAATGCCAGCTGCGTAAATCAGGTGCTGGCACATGGATACAAGACCGTTTAATCAGGTCTGACTGGTCAGGAGTCTGTGTGCACGCGACACGCCACGCGCGCACCAAGTTCATTGAAGGGGATTCTATTGGACAACTTTCGAAAGGAATATACCATAAAATGGACGGGGGTGTTCAAGAAAATGAAAGTAACATTTTTTAATAAAATCATTGGAAATCGCTCAGATATTGACTTCTTATGACTCTCTAAATGAAAAGGTGTTAATGAATGGGAATCAATATGTGCTTGGCCGGTTTAAAACGAGCGTTTAAGACTGGCTGAGGAGAACGAACGCTGATAATGCTCAAGTCGCAGGCGAGAGCATGTTAGTCATGTCCATTCTCCTAAGCAGGTCTTAAACGCACGTTTAAGACCAGCCATATTTATTCCCTTGTTTAAGGTGGTCTGTCATTTTAATCAAATTTCTTGATCGTTTTCAAGAAATTTGTTCACTTTAAAAAACAAAGAAAGAAAATTCAATTACATGTAGCTTGCTTTTGAAGAGATACATGCATCCGCCCCAAGTTGGAGTGTTCCTTCACCAGTGAAGAAAACACAGATGGGACTAAGTTTTTCCAACCGGGTTCTCGCAAGTGTTCAGCCTGCATGCAAAGTCCATACATTCCAGACTAAATTCGTTGTACATACTCACGTTTTCCACACCAATTGCGCATAAAGCTTGCGCACCTAGCCCTAGGCCCCTATGCCATGTATGCACTGAACATGACTGTCAATTTCATTTCACTAGCAAAATATGCCCTCTTTTGTTCCTGCTCGGAGCGGATGGGCCTGAGCTAACTGGTCTCTAATTTTTAAGAAAATAATGAAATACATGTAGGCCTAATAATAAAAATTTTCCAAAATTTTTTTAAAAGGCCTACCCTATCAAAAAACTCTGATGATAGGCCTACTTTGTGCCCAGGGTGTCAAATGCCCGCGTAATGGATTTCGTTGTGTAGGGTTCAAACTGTCCGCTGTTTACGCCTAAATTCATGAAATTAGCTTGAATGGACACACGCTCACCTGTTTCCCACTTGACTGTGACAAATGTAAGTAATCTCAATTCACTACAGCAGATCAGCAATACAGATTCAACTATTTACATGTCACTTGTCTGGTCTCTGGAATAAGATAGTTCTCACAATGTAAACAGGCACAAGCCTCCAGAGTCATACACTGCAAGAGTTTGATTTCCTCAACTTAGTCTTTGCTGTACTATAGTCCTGAAGACACTTTGTAGATGACTTGCTTATACAAAAGTAGTTATGTGTTGTGTGATGAACAGTCCAAACGATGCACTCAACTATTTAAACAATGTTAAAATGAGTAAACACTAAAGTCCAATCACGATAGCAATCGGTCACAAGAAGTGTATGAACCATGTACGAACATATGTACACATGTAAGCCTTATCACAAATACCGCATGATTACTGGGTGATTTTAAACAATGCCCCGAAGTTCTACCATTGTGTAAAATCACCCATGCAGTATTTGTGATACATGGCCTATGTACACGTAGGCTAGTTATAAGCCTATGCATGCAACGTTAATTTATGACGTGGAGATCAGCAAGCCAAAATAAGCGACATACAAAACCAGAATGGCTCCTCTACACAACTATCCGAATCGCTAAAATCTTAATAGAAGCCTTATCACTCAAACTGTATCTTAAACATTTTACAAATGTCAAAGATATCGAACTTTGACAAGCAATACCTCGAAGTTGCTTCTCAGACCTTAACGTCTCAGCTCAGTACACATGTAGGCCCGGCGCCTAATGCATGGTGTACGTTGGTGGGCTTAGCAAAGCTATATACCGTACGATCTTTGGTTTTTAGAAGTTTGTAGAATGGTCCGAATCAAGAGCGCCCCCAATTGGCCCGCACAGAACACAAACAAACTTATTTAACAGTCCCCTGGGGAACACCAGATGTAACTGGTGTCAGAGAGGATGTCTGCCCATTGACCAGGACTTGCTGGTCATGAGATCTATTGAAAAAAAACTTACATCACTCGGCAGTTGGTAAGGCGTTGGAGAGTTCAGAACACCTCTTATCTATGCCGCTCTGACACTGCTATAGTATAAGCATGGGGAAAGCAACTGTAGCGGCAAGCACGTGGCAAAAATTAAACGGTTACGGCCGCCAGCACTGCACCCAAACTCTCCCTCACGTAATGTGGGTTGAGTCTACTACTGCATACCTACCAGATTACCAATACATATGCATTATTTCCTATTAAACCACTCTTGTGACGTCACCCTGTTCAGTAAAGTGTCGATTATTGTTAAGAATGTACAGTTAACAGTACATTCTTAAAGAATGTAGAGTGTGGACATTCTTCAAAAGCGACTAGACATACAACAAAAAAGCACTTGAGACATTAAATTACAATGTCAAACACCGTAAGAAATGCTCTCAACAATAAAGCAGATTGTTTTAGACAGTTAACACTCAAATTTTTAGATTTGACGCGGTACCGGCAAAGTTTTTTGTTGAGATTACCGATTTTCAATTAAAGCGAATCGTTCTTTACGTTGCACAATATAATGTTTTTAATGCGTCTCCTTCATTTTTACATACCTTTTGAATTTCAGTTTCATTTTTACATATCCCTTCCATTTTAGTTTTATTTCATCTTTTTTCGTTTTAATTTAGATATTTATTCTAACGTATAATTTTTTATTATTTTTATCCTTTTTCTTTGTGTATTTATTTTAAAATTCACATGTCGCAACTTACTTTCGGTTAAACCTCAGTTTTACCTCTTTCGCTGTTATTAAACAACTTTTAAATACAACTTCAGCAATCACAATTCATGTACAATTTGCAAAACAGATTAATCGTTTAGAAACTTACGTATGATACTTCCCAGATGAATGAGATGATATTCCAAATGCATGTATTTTCCAAACGGAAGAATTTCCTTTGGCGACTGGGGGATTCAAAGAGTAAGCATGTACTTCCAAGTTATAAACGTAATTTTCATTTGAAGAGACAGTAAACTGTAGTTCTCAAATCAGTCACTCAGGAAACTTGCTTGTTGGTGGTGTGAAAGGTCCCCAGCTCCATACAGTCATAACGATAGCCTTTTTAAACGTTAATGTAGCGTATCAATTTTCTGCAACTGGCATAATTTATTAATATAAATCCACGGTGTCGTCTGCGTTTAACTTCGTGTAAAGCATGTACTCTGCCTGTGAATGAAAAATAGTCGTGCAACCAGCTGAAGAGAGACTCAATGGCTTAATTGGGACAGGAATGAAGCTTTTATGTACATGCAGATATACATAGCTAGCCAACGCTGGACAAATGATGGATTCATCTCAAAGCGTCANGTAAGGCCTTTTTTCGTTCTTTTGTACAATATGAACAATAGTGGAGGGAGGGACGTGCTTTGGGTCCTCGCCCATTCGAACCAAAGAATCTCCACTTTTTTGTCGTTCCTCCTTAACGTCCATTACTTCTATTAGCTAAAATCTCGATTACTAATAGTGCGCCCCCACTCACTCGCCCCCCGCAAAGGTGTCAGCCATGCTTGTCCTCTTCTTCGATGCACGAAGTGCACCGAAGCAATGTGGGAGGAGGGAGGGAGACTGGTAATCTGGTAGGTATGCAGTAGTAGTAGACTCAACCCACATTAGGTGTGGGGGAGAGTCTACTGCCTGCAACCTATGCAGATTACCAATACATATGCAGAATAGCACCAAATCTGTGGACGGTTGGAAGGCGAGAGCGCACTACTAACCACATCTATGTATCACTGAGGAAGTAAGCAGGTTAAAACAAATATTAATTATAACTATACGAGACACAGCAACTGACATATCGTTAAGAGGAGAGCACAAACTAACTCACCATGACAAATGTGCGATTGTCTCCTCCTGAACAAGCAAAGGACGGCCGGCAGTTGAGCTACTGCGATGCCGTCCGGAGCACAGCCAGTCCATGTGAATGTTCCCCGTGCAAAACATCACTGAGATAACATGTGGAAGGGGTTTTCCAACAAGCAGCTTTACAAATGTCCATCACGGGAATCGCTTTGAAATAGGCCCATGAGGATGAAATGGCACGGACATCATGGGCACGAATATGCCCTATATATACTTTGGTCATCTGAGCCAGAAGGCCAGTCCACGTTACCAAAATTTAATAGCCGAAACGACCCACCTTGCAATCGTATCTCTGGAGGCTGGACGATGAAGTCGGGTAGAAGTGATGAATAGCTGTGTAATTGGCCCCCGAATGTCCTTTGTCCTATCAAGATACCATTTCAGCATGCGGACAGGACAGCAAAGTTTATCCGATGATGATGACGCCCAGGACTGGATTGCCGGAACGGAGATATCGGGGGATGGAAGGACGGAGTTTGATTCTTAGTAGGGAAGCCTAACTTCGGAACAAGACGTACCCCCAAAGGCTCCCTCGGCTGACCCTCAGCTATGGAGAGAGCCTTAATTTCGAAACCCCTCGACGGTACGAGAAGTCACCACAGCGAGTAAGAGTGCCAGTTTGATGCTGAGGTGCAGGAGGGAGGCACGGCCTGCTGGCTCAAAGGGGGTTGAGACAGAAGTCGGAGGACATCACCGAGACACCACGCAGGAACAAGACGCTTCATTGGAGGGTTAGATATCGAAGAGCCATCAGCGAAGCCACCGTGCACCCTAGCGATCGCCAAGCGGTAATTTCAAATTGTGGAGACAAGGAGACCAGAGAGGAAAAGATGAACGAAAAAAATCGGTCACGACTGAAAGAGGTGCAACAGTCAGATCCGCCGAACGTCCTTTGCATCCTTTGCATGAGTCAAAATGTCGTAGTCGGCAGTCGTAAATCTTTCTTGTGGACTCTCGTCAATCCTTATCAGCCAAGGCGGCAGCGTCTTGAGAAAGGCCTTTCTGGTCGAAGGATCGCTTGACAACGTCCAACACGTTAAGTGTAGGTGAGTGGGGTCCGGATGCAGTAGACGAGACCTGGGTTGAAACTGCAAATCCAGACATGGAGGCAGTAGTAGGGGAACAACGGCCAGAAGCCTGACTAACCGGAAGAACAACACTGGTCTCGGCCACAACGGGGCGATGATAAGGATGCGGCAATTGCTCAGTCTTAGTCAGTACCAATGGAATGAGTGATATCGGAGGGAAAGCGAAAGCGACAAGGCCCTCCCAAGAAATGCTTAGGGCATCGAACGCCCATGCCTTGGGATGTGGATAGCGGCTGCAAAAATGTCAGCAGCTGAGCGTTCAGATGCGATACAAAGAGGTCCACGTGAGGTCTGTTTATCGCCCGAAAAAGAGCTTCAACGATCACTGGTTGTAGGGTCCACTCTGTCGGGCGAACTGTGCCCCGTGAGAGGGTGTCGGCAAGGACGTTCTGTACTCCTGGAATGTTTTCGGCTCGAACCAGAATGGAAAATTGCATGGTCCATTGTAATAGGCGCCAGGCGAGGACACAGAGAGTTGGAGTATGTGTGCCTCCCTGACGATTGATGTAGGCAATGGCCGTCGCGTTGTCTGATCGAACCAAGACCGTTTTGCCGGTAATCATAGGCCGGAAGAGGCTGAGGGCTTCGAAAATCACCTGAAGTTCGAGAAAACTTATGTGGGAACCCACTAGGGACGAGTTCCACTGGCTGGAAATCTGGTAAGACTGGAGACTGGCACCCCAATCGAGATTGAAAGCGTCGATGGTGATAACTATCTCGTGTTGAGGTGGAACGAAAGAAAGACCGGCATTGAGGTTGGCCCTGACTGACCACCATGACAGGTGACGGTAAATCAGGCTCGATAGCGGAACTTGGAAGACGACGGAATCTTTGCTCGGCCTGGAGTAAGATAGAAGGTGGAGCTGTAGAGGCCGCATGTAAAGCTAACACCGCAGGACGGGGTCGACAAGGCTGGCCATCAGACCTTGGGGTTGATTACGAAACTCAGGCGAGATGCAACGTCGTACGTTGTCTTGGCCGCCAAAGCAGCTTCGACCTCGGAGCGTCCGACTATCAACCAGTCGTCGAGGTACTGAAATATGAGCACGTCTGAGCGTCGATGGACTGCCACCGCTCGGACCACCCTTAAAAAGACTCTGGGAGCGGTGGACAGGCCGAAAGTTAGGGTGCAGAACTCGTAAACCAGGTGACGATATGAAAAGCGCAGGAATAGGCGGTCTTGTACATAAATAGGGATGTGAAGGTAGGCGTCCTGTAAGTCTATGGACGACGCCCAAGCCGGGACGGGTAGTGATCGTAGGACAGTACGCAGCGTCTCCATTCTAAACTTCTTTGGTCTTGTGTAAACGTTGAGCGGCTTTAAGTTCAGAATCGGTCGCGACTTCCCAGGTTCCT